TATATATATATATACTTTATCGACCTTACCTCCACGCTCATTGCTGCTCCTATTAGCAGACCGATAGATTGTGCAACTAATGATGTCAGTATACATATATTTAAATACATAAGAAAACGCTCCGTTTCCAATGGTTGCGACGTGATAAAGTATACGATCATCACATAGGCTATAGAGTATACCATCTGCAATAATTTAATATTGTGCATGAGTCGCGATTAGTTTGGCCTTAATTGAACATGGAGAGCGTAAATTATACTTACTTGGAACGGCAAATCCGCCAAAGTTCTTGCGAAGTAAAAGGCTTTCACCGAGTACCAGTAATTTAAATGCTCTCGCACGAATACGGACATTTCCATCGGAACTGCGACAAAGATGACAAAATCAAGATCATCGATATATCTCGCGGCGGTTACATGATTACAAATTACTCACATGTTAATATAGTAGGCATCATCGCAGTGAACATTAAAAACATCACCGTAAAAAAGACGCATCCGGCATTACTCATAACTTCGGAGGCTTCGTTACCGATGTCATAATAAATCGCTCCGATCAGAAAGCCGACGATTATATGCGAAATCAATCTTACCCTTGTTAGCGTCTGTTGGAGGACAGAGTGAAAGTAACACTCAGAATGAAAACAAAATATCTTAAAATATCTTAAGTAGAGATTTTGTGTTATTTTTCCGTAAAAAAAAGGTAATGAAAGAGGAAATATTCTAGATAACGTATATCTTATTTACCATATCTCGCATTTGCGATAGAAAAGTCCTCTTGAGCAATATCCAAAATTGCACCCAACCATTCGTCGGAAAGCCAACCTTTTGCTCTATACTTTCCACGCTATCCAGCAATGACGTTGTGCAAGAAACCGGCATATTTATCATCGTCGTGCCAGTTGGCGGCTTTGCCACACCATTCGGTATCAGAGCAGCGCCTTCCGATTTCGTCTGCTCTTGTGGCGATTCTTTGGCGATGTCGTTTGAAACCGTTTGCGCCGCGGAAATGGCTGCTTGATGATGCTGATAATTATTGCATTTGCCATTATTCACAGCCATCACGAGCTTGTGAACGCACTCGCCGTGCTCCCCGCAAGCGACTTCCATCACTGAACCGATAAAATTTCATTAGCGTATCATATTATTGCGATGGAAGTACAATTTTAACAATCGACGAATTTGTAAAGCAATCTGTGAAATTTTAACGGTAAATATATTTTGTAAAATATATCGAAATACATTCCATTCAGAAAATAAAATTAATTTTATTCTTAAAGAATCAATTCACAATGATCGCACAAGATCATGATTTAAAATTTTCTACATACGTATATATAGAAACGACATTTGAAATAGGATAATTGAAATTTCATCGAATACTTGCCGTAATCCGCTGGATTGTGATAACTTGGACAATCGAGACCCATCGATGACAAGAAGGGCACTAGGCCACCGACGTTGCCCTGATATATACACTGGCCTTCGGCAAGCAGGTACAGATGATCGAACATCTCGAACAATCGCGCACTTGGTTGATGGATCGTGCATATAATCGTTCTTCCTGTAAAAGATTCCCGCATGTATACAGTGATGTTATGTTATAAATGCGAGACGTTCGTAAAAAAACATTTTGCGAGAACATTACCTCCCCTACTTAAAGATTTGAGCAAACTGAGGCATTGGAAACAAGCGGAACTATCTAAGCCGGAAGTTGGCTCGTCGAAAAACATAACCGGAGGATTGTTGACAAGCTCCAGCGCTATCGACAGCCTCTTCCTCTGCCCTCCACTGAGATTCTGGGTTTGCGTATTGCTGGCTTCGCGTAGGCCAAGTGTCTCAATAATCTCCTCAATCTGCATATGAATATACGAACTTCAGGAATCGAATTTTGAACTTTAGCTTATATTTTTTTTTAAACGCGATAAAAGAAGAATTTCCGCTTATCGTACCACTACTTTCTTGGCAGTCGCGCTGATATCCTTCCCTAATTTCAGATTTGCTGAAACAGTCATTGCTTCGTAAACAGTCAGATGCGGCAAAAGTCGATCGTCCTGCATAATATAGCACGACATCTTTCGAAATCTTCTGAGATTCCTGTCCTTTCCGTTTATCAGTACTGAGCCATTCAAATGGGACGTTCTAAGACGTCATCGAAAACGATTAAAATTTTGTCGTCAAAAATTTTGAGAGAATAAGGCAGAAACTTAGATACATGCAATTTTAATCATATACAATTTTATTACTTATCCCAATATATTGTTAATTTTCTATCCTACTTACTTGTAACCTGCTAAAACATTCATAAGCGTGCTCTTTCCAGCGCCGGAAGGTCCCATAATGGCTGTTAATTCTCCAGATCTGAATTTTCCGTTTACGCATTTCAGAATAGTTTTATATCCTGCAACAAAATTGAGAAATTATGAAGAAAATGAAAATATAGATGTGTTCTTCTATAATCGAAAAGTTTATTTGCAACGCAGGCTATATTGCTGGAGATTTCCATAATATAGTATTTTGTTCAAAAATTTTGAAGAAAGCTTTTCAAGCACATCATTATATAATTATAAAAAAATATATATCAAATGTGCTATTATTAAATTTCGTGATTAAAAGCGATACTATCTGCGTATATCTTACATATATAGAAATGGATCGCAACATTTTATAATAGAAACTGTCTATTACAAGTCTTTTTCAATTTTGGCGTCGTTGATTGCCAAAATTCTCGTTAAGACTCTTGCCAAAATTGTGATATTTTCCACACCATTGTATAGAGAATGTATTCGAGGATTATACATCCCTCAGACAGACGAAACCTCTGGCTGACCTCTTTATTGCTAGTGCACTTGCACCAAGAACGATGCATCTGCGCCGAAACGGGAACCTGTCCGTGCATTTCTATCGATTTTTTCGGTCAGGTCATTCACACATGTTGATAGATGAAAAGCCTACTGAATAGCTCTTTGCATATTCGATTTCCCACTTTAAATCCCATCACTCTGTCATCTTGAATTATCCAGAGAATTTTTATTGCTCCGAAGTAATGCAAAATTGAAAGTACATCATGCCGGTATATTATTTCGAGATATAAGTAACTGCGTCCTTAAAATAAAAAATAAAAAAAATACGAACGTGGATTCTCGTTCTTTTCCCGTTATGCTGTTTACCTTCTTCTCTTTTTTTTTTTTTTTTATTGTGCCTCTGAATGATGACTCAATAATGTGCACTGTGCGCGGGAACAGAAATTGACTTTCTCCTGGAATTAAAAATGTAATTGCCACTTTCTTTCCGAAACTCACCCCTCTTTCTGCCTTCGGACACGCTATAGGCCAGGTTCTTGAACTCCACGTCGACCGGCGGCCTCTTCGGGAGATGCGTCAGCGACACCGCCGGCCTTTTATTGCCTTGCCCGGGACTGGCGCCGCTATGGTTCGGCACTTTCCTGGCCAGAACACCACCGGTACATACCGCAGTTGCAGCCCCATTCGACGTGGTGCCGTTGCAACTGCAGTGGAGATTGTTCTGCGAGCCGCTGTAACATTTTGCCCGATCGTTAATTGCGAGTTTTATTAATTAAATACATCTGCATTTGTTTGATAATACACATAAGTTTAGCTTGCTTTATAAATCGTAAAGAAATCCGCTAAACTGTTCCTACGTATTCTCGCAAGAATGGAACATATTGAATCATATATGATCATTGTACGTTACATTACTTTACCGCCTGATTTGGGAAGCGCAGCTCGTACACATTAAAATTAAATAACTAACGCGCGACTCTTGCTATGATATATGCAGGTGTACGTGTAGCGTATGTTTAAGCGACAAAATTAAGAATGCATATCGATTTATTAAAAATTAATGAGATTTTGGATGTATTTTTTTAGGAATATCCGCGAATCGCAATTAATTTAAAAACGCACAATGTTGAGGAAACGATGCGCATGTTAATCACTCATCCATTTTAACATTTTAAAAATATTTTTTAACAGATTGCATTCATTTTGCACAGGACAGATGATACCGATCCCATTAATTAATCTGTGACGTTGAGAGGCATTGTCTTTTGGAAATGCTATTAAACGTTGAATATAGATGCGAAATTAAATAAGACACTAAATATTTAATTTATATTTACATTTAAATTCAACACAAATAATAGTATATAAATATGGTACTTGCTTATATTATACTATCTAAATTTTTACGATATATTTTCTGACTCATTGACTTGTAAATGTATTGATGAAAAAAATAATTATCACCATATGATCCAACATATATAAGAAGCAATATCTCACAACTGATCACAATTTTGCGTGCGCATCGTTTCCTGTCGTAAATTTTCTGCTACATTTTCTGCTGCAGTTCTAGCCACGTGAAAGCTTATTATTTTCTAATATTAAAGGGAAAAAAACGTGCACGAGATTAGCTGTTTCTGCAATTTTGCGTAATCACCTTCGCAATTACTACAGCTAAGTGTGATAGAAATGCTACTGTCAAGAGGATGTAAATATTTCTGTGAGTGTATGATTTTATCTCTGCATTAGATTCACGATCATGGTTTAACTTTTTTGCAAAAATCATGAGACCGTGTTCATCGAAAGAATTTTTCCTCGTTTTCTTATTACCGGTTTCATCGACAGCCCTATGATTATTTTTATTGCAAACATCCGCCTATCAATACATTTAAAATTATTTTGACTATCTTTAAGAAATTTTGAATGTAAATATCAGTATATACAGAAAAATAGAACTCTGTGTGTTTTACATACATTTTTATCATATGAAAAATATTATTTTTAAATTCATCTTGAAAGATTTTTCGCAAGTTAAGTAGGGTTAGAAAACGCAATGTAATATTGATAATTTTTTAAACTAATTTTGATTTATTATTTTTATATTTTGTATGAATATGTACAAAAGTATATTACACTTCAGCGGAATATTTTACTGAAATACGTGTCTTTGTATTTCTAACTTCTAATATAATTGATGAGTCAGTAGAATAGAATTTAACAAAAGTGCTAATATGTTATCTTTGATTGAGATTTTCATATGCAATAATAGAAATTCTAGGTCGCGTATAGACTTTCAATTGATTCTAAGCGGTTCTCTGTGTATATTCGTACTTGTTAAGTTTTATAACACCTTGTCCTTTACGAAGTTTTATCCTATAAGTCTTTCTCGTTTTTTATCAATTTTTCATGTATGACACTAGAACATAATAGCATAGTCTTTAAAAATTTAAAATACTGAATGAAGTATTAACTTTTCTATTTTATCACGCAATTATATATACAAAGTATATCTAACTTGCGTAAAAAGTTAAATTACATCTAGTTATCTCAATAAAAAAATATATATATAACTTGTATAATTTTTATATATGGCAAAATGTGTGTATGTGGTGAAAGCACACAGTAGCATGCACAATCTCTTTATTCGCTCGATTGATTCAAAAAAGTCACAAAGGAGACGTGTCTTTGTCCAATCCGTTATGGCAGTATTTATGTTAGCACTGAGTCATAGACTCGTAGAAGGCAAAGTAGCCGATTGTATGTTGCGATACTTCATCGATGCTTCTTCTCAAGAAATTTCAATTCATATTATAGTAAACTTTAATCGCACATATTTATGTTAGTATAAGTCTTATGCCGCGCATATTCCTTAGTCTCGGTATTTCCAAGTTCGAGGAATGCTTAATCGAAGCTTCCACGACGAGGTCAAAAACCTTGACCGTGATGGTCTATAGGGACCCTGAGACAATTAGTATCGATTGTCATTCCAAGCAGTATAGTCTTTCGATATCGAATATTTTTAAATATTCTATAACTATCGCTATCTCTTTCACTTATGGATTTTCGGGCGATTTAAAGTCAATGATTGATGAAATTAATCGTTAAATTAATGAAATTAATACGATCATCTTTATAAAACGTAATAATTGTTTGCCGATTATTCTTGTATATAAAGATAAAAACTTGTATAAGTAAGTCTTATTGTTAGCATAATTTTATTATGCTGTCAATTTTTTGCGATTTTTTTTCTCTCTTATATAACTAGTAAAAAAAGTTTTATATAATGCGTAAAAAGTTAAATTACATCTAGTTATCTCAATAAAAAAATATATATATAACTTGTATAATTTTTATATATGGCAAAATGTGTGTATGTGGTGAAAGCACACAGTAGCATGCACAATCTCTTTATTCGCTCGATTGATTCAAAAAAGTCACAAAGGAGACGTGTCTTTGTCCAATCCGTTATGGCAGTATTTATGTTAGCACTGAGTCATAGACTCGTAGAAGGCAAAGTAGCCGATTGTATGTTGCGATACTTCATCGATGCTTCTTCTCAAGAAATTTCAATTCATATTATAGTAAACTTTAATCGCACATATTTATGTTAGTATAAGTCTTATGCCGCGCATATTCCTTAGTCTCGGTATTTCCAAGTTCGAGGAATGCTTAATCGAAGCTTCCACGACGAGGTCAAAAACCTTGACCGTGATGGTCTATAGGGACCCTGAGACAATTAGTATCGATTGTCATTCCAAGCAGTATAGTCTTTTGATATCGAATATTTTTAAATATTCTATAACTATCGCTATCTCTTTCACTTATGGATTTTCGGGCGATTTAAAGTCAATGATTGATGAAATTAATCGTTAAATTAATGAAATTAATACGATCATCTTTATAAAACGTAATAATTGTTTGCCGATTATTCTTGTATATAAAGATAAAAACTTGTATAAGTAAGTCTTATTGTTAGCATAATTTTATTATGCTGTCAATTTTTTGCGATTTTTTTTCTCTCATATATAACTAGAAAAAAAGTTTTATATAATTATGCGTGATATGTTTTAAATCTTTCGCCTTTTATTCTTATTTATCATATATTCTCGCGTAGAAGTTTGAACGCGTTTTCAACAATTTATTATTTATCGATATTTTAATCGATATTTATCGATCTATAATTCAAATAGTCTAATTTACTCAACAAATTAAAAACGGCCTATATTAATTCAGTGATGCCTTGCCTATCAAAAGAATATTTAAGTTGGCTGCAAGTGTATCGCTATTACATTTTATTGCTATTACATATTGTTGCTATAAGTTAATCCTATTCCAATAATAAAAATTTTGTTTTTTTGGTTGGTTGATGTTTATCTTGTATTTTTCAATTTCGAATAGCGCAAAATAAAGAATTATAGTCCACTTACCCATGGACCGCATTATTGAGATTTTCCAGATGGAGGGAGGGAGGGGGTGATCTGATTGTCACTTGATTACTTCCACCTGGGATAAATTGCACCTGTTCATCGCCGCTGTATCTGGAGGCACCGCCACTGCTCAGAGTAAGATTCTTTAGATCAGCCATCATCCAGTCGTGCTAGAGAGAATAGATATTTATATATGTTAACATAATGTTTTATCAAGCTAAACAATAAATCTACTTTTACATTTATATAATTTTTATTTTTAAATATGCTACTAAAAAATACGGATAAATCTAAACTGTCAAAGCTATATTCCGCAGAGTATTTAGACAACGTACAATACTTGGAATTCCATTAAGACATTTTGTGCACTTAAAGTAATGGCTCAGAATTGTCGGAGTATTTAGAGAATTAATCTGTTTAAAATCGGGGTAAAAAAAGAAACTTTAAAACTAATGTTATATTTTATTCTAAGAAATAAAGAATAAAATTTTATTCGAATAAATTTTGATACAAATAAAAATAAAAATTTATTTAATACTAACAAATATAAAGTAGTTCTGAACAAAAATTTATTTATTATCTACAAATAAATATTTTAGTTTTATTTGTTATAATTAATTCATTATATGAAATAAAATTTGTCCAACTTTGGATATAATGAATTCTCTATTTATATTTTGTTTTTATACAGCACTTTAATCTAGAAAGTTATACAATTTTTATTTGTGAATTTATACACAAGCAACAAGAATTATACGATTTATTGATTTTGCGAATAAATTCTGTAATTAGTCAAAGAGAGTACAATGTTATATATTGCATATCAAATTAATTACGCTTTACAAATATGCAATATATTAAACTAATATGTACATTTGATGTTTTTTGCGCGTGCAAATCTAAACAGTAATTAAATATGTAAAATATCAAAATAATGCTATCTCATTATTAATGTAAAATTTATATAAATTAAACGACAAAAATATCTTAGCTCTTTACGAACAAAAATAGTTAGATTCACTCACTATATTCTTTATGCAAATTATCATGTAAATCAGCAAAAAAGATACGCAAACACATGTACAAGCTTTCCGGGTGCAGATGCACTGAACGAGCGCAAACTTTGAATAATCGTCCCTTTCAGCTAGAGAAAGAATATAACGTTTCATCGAGAGAAGACTCTGTCGCTTCCTAATTTCTATAAATTCATCTAATATGACCGACATATATATTATAATACTCAAATTAATGTAATTAACACGCATTACATTTTAATCGAAAAGCGAAAATAATTTATAAATGATGTATGATGAAGAAATTTAATGACGCAAAAGAAGATGAAACTGTCACTAGCATCATTATAATGTTTTGTAAATATATGGTTTCTTAATATAATCAGATTTCTTTTCAGTGCTCTTCTTGATAAGGACAAATTATCTATATCGCATATAAATTGACGAGTAATATTTGCCGATCAAACAAAAAAAAAAAGACAAAGAGAAGATCAATTTTTTATATATAAAAAGAGAAAAAAAATTAAAAGTGTAAATAATATAATAACGGTAGAAAAAAGAACATAATTACTTCTTTCTCAATTCAAGAACGGAAAGAGAAAGGAGCAGCCCCCATCGAATCTGAGTATAGAAAACCCTAAAGGAGATTAATTCAACACCGTATACTATAATTCAGAGCATATCTCTTATGTATACAGAATCCCATTGATGCGACACTCCCGGGCATCTCTCGCTCGCTTAGAATCTCGAAAATCGAAGGGATCAATTTGCAGCTAGGTATGCGCCAACGGGAGTCAGCTACGGCGCGTGCTGTTTTTGCAGAACACGCACGTGTCAGGAATCATGTCAGTTGCGTGTTTGTGATACATGATTCGTGCAAATGCATATTGCGCATACGAGATACAACAGCGTATTTCATTGTCGTTGAAACCGCTGCGTCAGCAACCCTCAGTTAGGCGCGAGAAGATCGAGATGAGATCTCGGAATCCGCTTTATTATCCCAAATGACGTTCTAGAATCGCTCTCCGGTCGCCAGGCAATCTTCTTTGTTTGAACAGCTAAACCTCTCGATCAGGCCGAAGGCAAAATAGCTCGGTTCAAGCTCTTATTAATTAAACGTTCTGCTCACCACGGAATCAATTCTGCAGATCCGACAAGGTACGAAAGCATGCCGAGATATTTGTATACGAGAAAGAGATTTTTCTTTTCAATTCTGGATGCAGTGCTAAGATAGAATTTAAATTAATTCCTAACGAGTCGCGCTTAGCCATATAAGATTCATTTTCCCATATTAATGACAATAATCGTGAGCTGATACTGGCAACGCTCCAATTGATAAAATTTTAATTCAGGCGTAATAAAAGACGTAATTACCCGCATTCTATCATTTTATGCGAAAGAATAATGGAGAAAGTAAATTCACGATTTTTTATTTGCACAATTTTTAGAATTAATTAAATGATATTTAATAGAAAAAATATATATATATATTTCCATACATCCATACATAGACAAAAAAACTAATTTTAATTAGTTAAAACTCTTCGTACTATAATTCAAGATAAGTTGCTAAATGTATGTACTATATTTAACTTCGTGTTTAATAGAATACTTAATTAAACAGAATTTAATTTTTATAATAGCGAAAAACATGGAGAAGAATGATTATTAAAAAGTAAAACATGTCGAGCATTGTCCAGCAATAGACAATAATTCTCCGAATAGAAATGCGATCATTCGGTTTGATATGCGCAAATTCTCCTTGTTAAATTGTGATATCGCATATATACGCGACATGTGCACGATGCAACACTTTATCGTAATACGTTTTTCTGGTTGCCGCTAGTCAAAGTGTCTATTAAGTAACCCGCATCTTGATTCTATTTCTGAAAGGCGGATTGAATATGCGGAGAAAATCAAAAGTTTCGAAGCGTTTATTCATAACTTTATTAAAATAAATCACATCACACGTGTTAAATATCCTCTCTAATAATAGACCATAAAAATCATAAAGTAAGATGCCACAAACGCATAATGATAGCAGTTACAAAAATAACGTAAAATAATGTACGTAATACATCTCTATCGAAGATTCTTCCGTGTGCTGCAAATAATGCCGCGTATCACGGAAATAAAAGACGTCTAAAGTAATTGCGTTCGAATCGAAATGTGTAGAAATAGTCTGTGCAATCACGCGATATCGGTCGTCTCGACAATAATTCGTACAAACTACAGTTATAAACCGTACATCTTCATCCATTTATCAAATTGTCAAAGCATCGCAAATTAGAGAAATAGACAAAATATTGGAATCGACGTTTTTGAATGGGAAAAGGCATTTTTCCTCTCGATAAAGATGCGAAAGAATGATATATCGATGACCGGATGAAGTATGCACTATTATGTGATCAGTGTCTTTATCATTATACATACATAGACGAGATTCAATTTCGTGGCGCGTTATGTTACACGTCTCATTTCGCAAATTTAATTAACCATTTGATTGGATTGATCAGTAAATTAAAAGAATGTTTGCGAGAATTAATTAATTTCTTCCCTTCTCAATTGATTACTGAATAATGAAGCATAGGTAGATGCAAGGTAGATTCGTAGTATCCATGTCGCATAGCCAAAAAGAATTAAGGATAACACTAAAGCTGTTACATATTCACATATACACACGCCTTGATTTTAAAAGACAACTCACCCTCGGACGAAAGTGGGCTCAGCTACGTGGATAGCGACGTCCGAATTCATACCACGGCGATGACGCTCTGCATCTTCGATCTGTCAAATTCTTCGATCTGTCAAACTCGAAACGAAGATGTGTTCCAGGTACAAAGCGATCACGAAGTGATCACACTAGTCTTCGCACTAAACCAAGGATATGTCACGGGTATTCCACACGATTCCACTCCACGTATCGACTTTATTCGCCTGGTTACTGTGATGTACCACTACCAACTATAAAACTTTATTCGTTCCGGAGTCGTTTCGAGTGTCGTTCCAGAGACGATCGATCGCGGACGCGTGCACGCACCAGATGATCCCCGGACCGATCTGACCGAACGCACCAAGCAGAACCACAACATATATTGCGACTGAAGCGAGGGAGAACGCCGAGATCCCCGACAACGCACCAGTGTGATCAGCTGTCGAGCTATGCACCACCACTCCGACGACGAAATGAGCCGAGCTCGAGAGTGGCGAGGTCCAGGAACGGCAACGGCGTCCTGGCTGCTCCGGCCCTTTATTTGTTTGCCGTCGACTGTTGGATATGCAAACAAGAAAATTTATGTTTGTTTATAATATCAGAGCTGCATTCTTGTGTTATCTTTGTCTTATGGAGAATTTCAGTTCATGGAGAATAATTTCACAGATTCATAAAGAAATTGTAACAAAATTATGCATTCCACAAACAAAGAACAATGTTAATCATTTTTTGCGTAATCGTATATTTTATATTTGTAAGAAAGCTTTTGTTTAATTCATACTAATATATGTAATGTAATTTATTAATATTTAATATATATTTTTTATATTTCTATTTTAATGTTTTTCGCTTGCAGTTCTTGATTCGCGAATATTTATCTCATTCTAACAGAGAATTTTTGTATCTTACTTATCGCTATCACGTGTTAAATCAAGGATAGTCACTGTTCTTGTATTGTTAACACATTTGCGATAAATATTAGACTTTAGACGGTAGAAGTATTCATCGCGCATGTAATTAATTTTATTACCATAGCGACTAGATATGCCATTGGGTGTGTATCTATTATAGTAATTTAATTGTCTATGTTTTAAATTTAAAGGGATTGAATTTCTTGTGTGTATTTCGAAGATTAATCTTTGTTACGTATTTAATTATGGGTCCAATATTAGTTTTGCATAGTAAATACTAATTTCGATACATTAATCATGAAATCGTGATATAGCTATGAACACGTCATTGTTTTTTTGTCTTTATAAAATTCCGTTACCAAGAAAGAAGAACGTGATTGTAAAGGAACGTTTCCTGTTGCGTGCTTTCTGGTAACCACGGTGATTCAGGATAATGACACACGCAGATTTATCATTTCTCATTACTTGCTCTCATAATTATTCTTTATGTAAGAAACAAAGTAATCATTCCATGTCATCAATTTATTACTTGACATTTAAATAATTGATAAATTTTAGACTTTGCCAAATATAAAATATTGATTATAAATGACAAAAAGATCATAGCATGTTTGACATTGTTGGATTATTCAAATAAAAGGAATAAAATAGATTTAGGGGTTTGTTGATTCGATGTAAAGAACAAGTCTCTCGGCTCTTTAAAGATACTACACAGGGTGCTGTTTCCTCGTTATACGTCGTTGATTCACGCGCATGCACAACAAAGCAAGGTTGTATCATACGAGCGAAATTTCTATCTACGTTCATGCGAATATGGACCTTACGAGTCGCCGCGAGTACTCTAGGAGAGCATGACAAAGAGCGCGCGGGCGGACCGAGCGGAACGGCGATAGAAAATAGGAGTGGGAGACTATAATTCCTCGGGCAAGTGAAGAGGAAGGGTAAAGAACGAAGGAGAAAGGAGAGAACTGACATGAGCCACTACGGGTCGATACTCTAGCACTGAACCCGTTGGTGATACTCACCGAGTGCAGTTGCACCGACGCGAGTACGTCCGCACCGAGATTGGTACCAAAGGCTATTTGCCTGGTATCCATGAACGACGAGAAAATTCAATTCGTTCAAGCGAGAGGGATGTAGAAGCACAGGGCGGAAATCCCGCTCGATGGACACCTGCACTCGTGAATGAGGATCGAAGTTTGGGTTCAGTTCTCTGACGCAAGTCTGTCGTTCCGCCACGTCGTAGTCGATTACATGTATGATGTTTATTACATCCGTATTGGAGCACACGTAGAAGTACATGTACTTTGTTAATAATAATTGGGGTTCTCTTATTGACACATGTGTAATCTGATGAACAATCTAAAAGTATTGTAGGCAGTTAAACAATGATAGCAAGAAGAGAAATGTTTTAACATATCACACATACACAAATTTTTCTGCTTTTATTTATTCTACGGATTTTTTTACTCATTTTAATACACCTTTCATGGCTTGAAAATCATTGCCTCTAGATAACTGTATGATAGAAAAACCTATCTTTTATATACATATACATACCTCTCAAAGAACTTCGAGAATAAAAAGAATGCAAAAAATGCAAAACTTCATGTTTTTTTTTTTTTTATTTCTGTCAGTACAGATAAACATAATAGCTGGAAGTTAACACATTTGGTTTGGAAACTGCTGCTGATATTTGCAAGAACTAAGAAGGATTGTTTTGACGGTAGAAAAACATAGAGATCAATTAAAATACTATTTATTTAATATTTATTATAATTACTTACTCATTTCTAAATCTACATTATCTTGACTTCTGTACTTTATTCTTTAATATTTCTTAAACTTCTGAACATTGAACGTTTGATTATTATCACGTCGTTCTTGCCACTTCCAGCTGCAAGTGGAATATTCTATAATTATCTTATTATAGATTCTCTTTTTTCTCCTCGGCAAACTTTGCACCTGTACGATTAAGAATAAAGTTCTCCTGCCTCTATCACGTAATCTTCAGTTTTTATCAATACGCAGTTGATACTGGTCAATAAAAGACAATGAAAAACGTAGTTTTTAAATTGGCATTTTATGAATTTGGTAACAAATTCTCACGAATAATTTTCTGCTCGAGAGACAAGACTTCTATTCTATGCGAAACGAATCTTAACGAGCTGACAAAAAAAGTAGTGCTAGATTTTCACAAAGTGATTCGTATTATTTAGATTTCTCACTTCGCTTCAATTTTTTAAAAATTCTGGCGCAAGATTAGAGCGATTTAATGCGAGATATGTACTATACACTTTTATCTGCAAAATAATAAAAAATTGTATATCACTTTCTATTGCAAAGTCTTGCTTAACAAGAAAAGATAATGGAAATAAAACGAGGCATGTATACATTGCAGATATGAAAGCATTGCGATTTGAATTGATTTTCTGATTTCCTTGTTACGAGAATTGTAAATTACTTGTTGGAGAATTTCTCTAGATAATTTTGACAATTTATTTTATTTAAGGAGATATTTTTTTAGTTCAAAGATGTCTTTCGAGCAAGCCAATAAAGCCGTCACACGGTCTGTCTGTGAATATGTCCAAACACGTGTTAAGAGTCTCAGGTGTTTCTTGAGATACGGATGACGGGATGACAAACGTACGTGCCGAGGTAGCCAATGCAGATATTCCTATGTTTTAATAATGTTGTGAATGTGCCAAATCATATTTCAACATTTATAATTCTGATATATTTTAAATGAGAAACAACTCATCATGACAACTCAGTATGAAACAAGTAGTGATAATTAATTCTGCGGTATAAAATATTGATAAGAGTACATATGGTAAAAAATTTCATATATTTCACATATATTTTTGAAATATAAAACTATTTAATTGAAATATTGAATAATGTTTCGGAAAAAATAATACCCACTCTCTCCTCTTCTTCAACGCATAAGTAATCGTTTGTAAAATACGAACTGTGGAGATTTAAATAAAAAAATCTTTTTACGGAGCGATGAGTGCATTTCTTTTCAAAAGTTACGTTGCCAGAATTATCAGAAATATTCACGGATCATATTCTTTTGTAACGGATTATATTCTTTATGTATTTTAATACCGACAATGTACTGAAACTCTGACAGCACTGGAATGCAATTAACAATGTGATTTTTCATAACGCGATTATTCAGAGATTGCTCTAAGATACATAATTAATTTTCAAGTATCTCGAGAGTTTTGTAAGTTACGAACGATAGAAGATTAGACGACTACAGACACAAGATTGAAATTTACACCGATCCCTTTTTTGTCGCCACGCGCTTCCGCCACTTGTGTTTTCCAGCGTTGTTAGTTATTTCCAGTACACATGCACGAGGCAGCGATAATTTTTATGTTGATTATCCATGACTAATGACCCCGATCTAGCAATCTCGAGGTTTGTTACGCCCGTCGATCTTGTCTTTGTTCGCGAAATAAATGTGATGCAGATTACTCATTATATTCGCAGAGATACGGTTTTATATGATAATAATACGAACGCACAGAATCGATCGATTTGTTCGCACGAAACGAGTAACGCACTTGCGTGGGTATTACAGAATAGAGACTTTATCGCGTAATTACAGATGCGTTCAAATATCAAATTTTTGCATAATAAAATCGTTTGTTTGCAGCCGTCTATTATTAGAAGTTATCATTAAAAATTCTCATCTAACAAAAATATCAAATCTACAATATATAATGCAATCTGTGTAACATAAAAATATATAAACGTAGCATATGAAATCAATTGAGATAAATTTTTATAGAGATGTCACGATTCAAATTTATCAATTTACAAATTAAAGAGTATACTATTCTTTAAGAATAGTATACTACACGGCTTTAATTATAAATATACGTATAATTTCCTAATATTAAGTTATTTTTGATTAACATTAATTATTTACATAATCATTTACATATTTATTTATATATTAAAAATAATTGTTTAATTATATTTTATTTATATTTTATTTTTTTTTATCTTTTTTGAAAAGCTGGCGTTTCCCAAGAATATATAACATTTTGGGGTCCTTTGTTTTAATGCATAAAGTGCCGCAGGTGGCGTGCATACTTAGCGTGATTGACTCATAAAATGCTGCAAGCCACAAGATTGTCGCGCACCGTAAAGTTTTGTCTGATATTTAATTAGCGAAGAAATTGCTTCAATAAGCGTAAAATGCAGCCATAATACATATATCAAATGTACCGAAATTAAAGAAGAACCGCGACAATCTTTCGTTCGTTAACTCCTACTTGTATACACTTTTTTTTTTTGCATTTCTCAGAACAGCTAATTGTTGATAAGTGGCGATAATGGGAAGAAAGAGGAGAAAATACTCGCGTAAATTGCAAACGTTTCATTCTGTTAATTTAAAAACAAATATAAAATATTGAAACACAAAGCGCAGGACGTATAATAAATTCGTGATGTGAATTTTACAGATCGATTAAAATTGAATGAAGTATTTAATTCTCAATCGATCGTTTATTTTCTGCCCGATGTTTTTGCCATGACATTGTACAATGAGAAGCTCAGCTGTGCATTTCGAATGCAAATTCTTTCGGGGCCACGTTCGTAGTCAGCTAAGAAAATTACTCGTTCCCCCGGGAACGCGATATCCCCATAATTACTTTCTAATCGAACAACCCGCAGCGCGAGAGCGAAGGTTTCAATTTGCGGCGCAAAGTAGCAACGCCTTTATACCAAGAAAATGTACACAGCCGGAACCACTTTTCTCTCGCTCTTCTCACCGCACGTCTTGCTCTTCTCGCCGACTCTATTTAAATGCCCTCTTCCCCTCTTTTCCTTTCAGCTTCGCCATTCGACTTTGAATTACGAACCGCTGCTGCGGACTCGTAATCCTCTCTCGGGGAATGCGAAGTTTATCAACGCCTAGAGAAGAAAGATGCATGGCCGCGGTTTCTCATCGTATCGTTAACCGCGCGCATTAATGTACGCACGTAAACGTGATTCTTTCGTTCTTTTTCATTGCTTTCTCACCACTCTCGATCACGCAAATCATCGATTGTTCAACGACTCGTGCCACTGCCGATCGCAAGAATGAGCGATCTAATTTCTATCAGTGCGCTTTCGAGACGTGGAGGATATGCTATTAATTATCTCTCGAAGGCTGCAGCAGATACGCAGTTCCGAGACGTTATTAATCCGTTATGAATTATTAATCATATCTCGATAACTGAAACCGCTTGAAGATATTTTTAGAAAATGCAACACTTAAGTCTTTCAATCGTATTGTGTGAAGAGATATTTCTAAAATTCGCTATTGATTTTTCATCCCTTTTTAATCTGTTATAACATAATTAAATGGCTCAATGTATGAGAATAGGATAAATCTATGATTTGTAAAGTTTTAAAGTAAATCTTGTGCCAATTATTTTGGGTTACTTGATCTTTGCGTACATCGAACACTGTTTACATATTTCATATATGTTTTTATGAAACAAGAAACATGAGCTTTGCTTAGTTTTCTCCTAAAGATACAAGGATCGCCATCCCGCTATATAATATTTAATCTTGCAGCATCTTGGATAGATATTTATACCTGTGGATACCTGGTTGACCAATAATTCGTCATGTTCCGATGAGGCCGTGACTCAGCTTGCACGCGCTCGGTGCAACTGCACTTGCCGTACGCTTGGACCGTGAAAGGAGAGTACGCGCTCTCTATTCTGCTTCCAGTAAATATACAAAGGGCTATGAGAGACATGGCCTCGGCACAGCCTTCCTTTCTTCCTTGCGCGTTGAAACTATAGATTGCTGTATGTGTATTGTCAATCCATTTTACATATTACGATTTATGTAAACGAAAAAACCTTTGTTTTAAGTGGATAATATAAATACTGATAGATATACCTTCCTTCTGTATCTGTGCAGTGAGATTGAAAAATCTTATATGCACAGTATATTATCCTTTTTATAATATTTTATAATAATAATAATCTTGTACA